ATGGGTTTTTGTAGATCTTTAGAAACCTCTTTAGTATTCTAGAATATTAAAAATTATTCTAAAATCTTCTATAGTTGTATAAAAGTTTTAAGAACTTTGGATGAGTTAATAATAGTTTTTATAGAAGATTTTTCAGATTTCTAAAAATAAATATAGATTTAAAATCTTCCATAGGAGTTTTCAGAAGACATTATTACTCTTGTATAAATAAGAAAGCAAGACAAGATGTGTCTTATATATATATATATATATATATGTGTGTGTGTGTGTGTGTGTGCAATTAAAGATTTACAGAAATTGAAATTGACCCTTAAAAGAATAAGATTAAAAATCAAATAAAAGTTGTTACTTCACAACAAAGAATCATAATACTTAATTTTCAAATAACTTTCTTATAAGAAGAAATATTTAGATTTAATTATTGAAATTTCTTATTTTTCTTATTATATCCTTTAAGCTATCTTAATTGAGTCACTTAAGAATCATATATATATATATATATATATATATATATGTATATAATTGGCATTATATTAGCTTGATTTTAAACTTGTTTGAAAAAAATTATAATCTTTTTGAATATATTTTAAGCATTCTTGATATAATTTGAGATAATTTTGAAGACTTATATAGATAATAAGTTGGAAAAAGAAAAAAAAAATTGTCTAAAAAAAAGGGGAAAAAAAAGAAAAAAGAAATAAAAAATTTACTTTAATATGTGCAATTGAGTTTTAATAACTTGCATGAATCAAAAATTAGAAGCTGTAAAATAACCTCAATAGTATATATAAGGAAAATATTAAACTCATCCACCTATATCTTAAATTGATCCACGGACAAAAATTACAATTGGTACCTCTGCTAGAATTTTTGTTAATTATATTCATCATTTAGCATCATCAATAACTTTTCTTTTCACCATACTTTTCATACTGATTTTTTTTCAAAATTTACCTCTAATGCGACTTTAACTTCCCTGTAATGTATAATTGTCTTTGTGTTGCTTGTTTTTACCTTCATAGCTAACCTCTTACACTCAAATTCCTTCTAGTAAGTGCTTTGCATCATATTCATGGGAAACAATCCAATACACCAATGTTGCCAATTTACTCTATTTCAATCTTTTCCCACCTTTCACCACCACCAAACATAATACAAGGAGTTCCATTTTCTACCTCTCTCACCTCCTTGGAGAATTAATACATCATTGAGTGCAAAATTGAGGAATTAGTAAGGGAGTATAAAGTCCTAAGCAGTATGTGAGCAAACTAGAGTAGAGATGTGTGGGTTGATTTAAATTTTTGGTGGGTCGATTTAATATATATATATATATATATATATGTCTTGAAGATAATATGAAGGATATTATTATTATTATTATTATTATTATTTTATAGAATATATTTAGATTTTCAGAATGTCAAGTTAGAAGACCTTTATAAAATCTTAAGATTCCAAAGTTAAATTTTTGTTGGCGCAGTTGTTAAATAGATGCAATAATTATTGTAATTGTTTTCTGATAAGTGTCTTTGAAATAAAGTAGACTTTCTAATTGCTAGAGACAACCTTGTTATGAGCACCTTTGGCATATATAACCCTTCAAGAAAATACTAGAGCCTGGGTCAGACTATATTTATCCATTTAAAATATTTTATAGATTTTTAAAGATACTATAGGACCTAGTTGTTCTTGTATGAATAAGAGGGCAAAACAAGGTCTTCATTACTCTTGCCAGGTCAAATTTTGGTATAATCTAAAATTTGTCTTGTTCTTAGTTTGTATCAAGTTATGTTTCTAATCTAGTATTTTATTTCTCTTGGGCATAAATGATGAAGTTTACTTCACCTTGCATCTTATATAGATAATGAAATAGAAAATTATTTAGCTATATATGGATACGTTCAAAAAATTAATAGCATTGTATAAAATTGTAATTACCAATGTTATTTTTTACTTTAAACAAAATTTCCTATAAAAACAAGGTAGACTAAGACAATTTATTAATCTAGAATCACGTATGTCATTATTCTTTCTACATATTTTTATATTATTTTATATCACATACAGAATTACTATTACCACTGTTACTGTTATTCTTTTTCTAAAATTGAGTTATCAAAGAAAAAAGGAACGCATAAACACTTTATATTTCAATGATATAGAAACTATGCATTGTAGCTGACCATTGAAATGTTACGAATATATATATATATATATATATAGAAAGACAGATTATTGCATATAGTTTTTTAATATCTAAGTTGATTTTTCAACAAAAAAAACTGTTGAAAAGCTAACATACGTATCATGCAACATAAGTGTACAACAAATATCTCTGTTGATGAATATGAAGTGAAATCTTCAATCCATCCATCTCATAGCTATTAATTGATCGATTGGTTGGATGAATCGTTTCTTTGTCTCCTCCTTCACCTTTATTCTTCCACTTTCTGTCTTCTGTCGCTCCTTTCCCTTCTTTTTTTTGTTCTTGTCCCTTTTCGCGAGGAGAATAGAGAGTTAACTAACACTTGGAGCTGGAATGGGAGGACATGGTGATGTTTTTTACAGACTAAGTAGAGGGTTATAATTGTTCATATGATTAACATTTAACAATAATTTATTATATTCTTCGGTGTTCTTATTCTTCTGTTGTTGAGCAAGCGTGGTCCTGAAGCAAGCTCTCAGTTCGCCTCGACTAGAAGCGCATGCTGGAGCTGAGGCTCTCCTGCTGCCACCACCACCACCCCATTGGCAGGCAGAAGACTGTCTCCACGTTTGTCTACCACCAGTTGGATCGGTAAAAATAATAACCAAATTATCTAAATAAATCCCCAACCCCCGCCTCCCCCACTTCCCTAGTATTACTCAGTACCCTCCTCTTCAACATGGGGGAGTTATTTCGGGTTGGACCTGCCCCCAGCAATGAATCACTTCTTTTTGGACTTTCTTGTACATTCTATGGGTTGTTTTTTCTTCTATGGTTGTTTGGTTTTGTTATTCTGAAAGTGAAGAATCATGTAGAGAATCTCGGATTGATATTCATCTATAATTATTCGAAATGACAATTAAAATAACACATACCAAACATAGAAAATATAATTAGTGAACTCGTCACGAAACATGAAAGAAGAGGTGAACCCAATACTGACAAAGCCTGGATTAGAATCTCATTTAAGACGATGGTGCTAACTATGGATGGGCTCCCCAAACCCCCAGTTCTCCTTCAGTTTTAGCCAGGCCTTGTCTGTGTCCCTTTTACACAAGCATATGAATAACCCAGACAACCGGTAGTTCATACTCCCAGTCAAGTTGTTCTTATTGACGGAGAGACTAACGGACTCGTGGTAGTGGTGGGAGAGCCTCCGTGAGTCTTTTGGTTTTTTTTTTAAAGTACAATAGGTAGACAGAACCCAACCAAAAGTAATAAAAGAAAGGGACCTCTCTCCGTAGATACGCACATAGAGAAAGAGCCCGTGCACCCTGGAGTAGAACGGTAGAGAGGGATTTCCAGAGTTGTTTTTTTTCTTCTGGTGGGGCACATGAAGCTTTGTGGCAAATATAGCCTCCAGACAACGCCCATGTCCAGATTCCTGCGGCAGAGCGGGACGGAGGGAGGGGGAAAGAAGTGGTAAGCAACAGGTGCACCTCCTCGTCCTCCTCCAAGCCCATACTAATACATTACCTGTACTAGTTGAGGAGGAGGCAGAGGCAGAGGCAGAGGAAATGGAAAAGGCGGCGCCTCCCCCACCGCCTCCTCCAATCTCCATCCATGTGTTTCATCCACTTCGTAACTGTATATCATCTGTAATTACATTCATCCATCCGTCATGTGAAATTGATATATTTTTAATTTTTCTGCGGGGGGGACAAGGAGCATATTATGATTAAATTGTTCTCCAGGGAGGACAACAATGACAATATACATGAATATAATACTACTACTGGGGGAGTGATGATTTGGGGACACAAGTGTGGGATCCAATGGATCAAATCTAGTCCATAATAATAATAATAAAAAAAGGGGAACCTCAGTCTTTGTCTACTCGACCTGAGCGAATTTAGTTCTATTTTTTTAAAAAAAATTCTGCAAATAATAAAGTAGAGATTAGTTGTGTGGGGAAGAGGTGGGCGGACAGGATACCATCCTCAGCTCTTGTTGATCTGAGATTTTGAATTGGATCAATATGCTCCATGAAACACAATCCTTTCATGTCTTCTTTTGCAACATGACTGACTATTCCCTCATCCCTTCATTCTTTTGTTCTGAAGAAATAAATTAAAATTTACTAATTATCCAAAGAAAAGGTGAAACTTGTTCACAGGATGCTACTGTGTGCTGAGTGTGGGCTTTTAATATGTCTTGTTTTGCAAAGTTGCCTTCTCACACATTAACATATTGGCATGAACTCAGTCAACTCACTGCCAAACTCTCATGTTGTGAAATCCCCTGCAGGAGTAGACATGGTTAACAAAAAGGAAATTAAGTAAAAAGAAGAAGAAAGCAAGCAAGAAAGAAAGTAATCTTAAAGGAAGCGAAAAAGATAAAGAGGGAAGGGGGAAAAAGGGAAGGAAGAGTAGGGCGACTTTTTCTGGTGGACAAGGAAGGGGGTAATGGGAGGAAGGAAGGGGGAAAGGGAGAAAGGGAGGGGGGAAAGGGAGAAAGGAAGGAGGAAAGGGTTGACATTGTGGCATGGCAAATGAGGGGTAGGGGGGTGGGGGTGGGGCTTAGTACAAAGGCAGGAAGGCAGGAAGACACAGACCTAGGACGGGCCAACTCGGAGAAAGCAGAGAAGGGCACCCAAGCCTGCCTGGCACCAGTTCTGGCATCCGAGCCTGGCTACGAGAGGAAGGAGCCCTAATGTGGCGTGCAGGGGGGCATGGGTAACTAACGGCAGATAACGGCGAGGCTCACATGCATGCATGCATGCCCATCCACCCCTATCGTCTCGCATCGCCTTTGGCGCCAAAGGGTGCCCTTTGATCTCATGTTGGGCGGGGTCCAGGCGCAAGGACTAGTCGTCGTCGTCGTCGAAGATGAATAAGAAGATGAAGAAGAAGAAGTCGTGACCGGTGTGTGTCGTCAGCAAGCGTCGTGAGTGACACGTTTGGAGGGTGAGACTTGAGAATGCATGCGAATGTGTGGTGGCCCGATGCTTTAAGTGCTTTTCACTGCGGCAGTTAGTCGTCGGAACGCGATTTTTCTTACAGCGCTTCAACGCCCAGGCATTGTTCATTTTCCTGCTGGTGTGTTAAAGAAATTTCGGGAGGTTTTATGATTTTTTCTTTTTTTTAAGCAGGAGAGGGAGAGAGAGAGAGAGAGAGAAGAGACGAGGAGAGAAGAGTGTTGAGGAGGAGAAGGTCAGACGAAAGCGTGCATGGAATTGCGTGCGTACTGGAGGGCGGTCAAGCCTATGTGAAATGGCGTCGCGCAGTTAGTCACGAGGTTGCTATGTTGCTTCGATTGCGCAGACACCGCGAGTTCGGGGGCAGGGCGGCTGGCGTGCGTACGTTGCGATCAGTGATTATCGGATGATTTACACTGGGGCTGGGAGTCTTTGTTCGCAGCGCCGTGACTGACGCGCTCTGACCCCACATAGGGACTCGTGGTCGTCGAGGTTGTCTGCTGCTCTGCTATTTCAGTGGGCGTCTCGGCTGGGATTGTGGGATTATATAAGAGCACTCCTCAGGGTGAGTGTGCCTTATTATTTCCCCCCTGCTCTCTGTGGTGTTTTAAGTTGATGAGTTCTGCGGTGCCCCTCCCAGCCCCCTCCATTCCAACTGGACCTACTACTTTTGGTTTGGTGTGGTTCCGAGTGTTGGTGAAGTGTGAGACAGTTCGTTGTTCGATTGTTCACTGAATCCGCGTCCTCTTACGTGTGTGTGCTGCCCTTACGGTCTCAAGTTGTGTTTGTGTCTGTCGCCTCGCTACCGCAGTTGTTGGTGATCTTGAACCCGGCATTTTACATGTAGGTGGCCACTTTTCTTGATCTGTGCTGTTGCGGGTTGTCTGTGGGCTCGCTTATGCTTTCCGTCATGAGAAACTTCTGAAGAAAAATACAGTGTCGGAGTTTTCTTAGTTTCCTGTGCTTCTGCGACTGGATATGTCCATGGTGGTTCATTTTGAGAATCACTGCAGAGGCCTAAAATATTGCGACGAATAGATGACGTTGTTGTGCTTTTGCTTTTAGTGATGCTATGATTCATCTAGAGTAGGAGTTATTGCTTCAGGGTTTGGTAGCAGTTTGAAATGACTGATTTGGTACTCGTGGTTTGGCAAAGTCGCAAAAGTCTTCCCTCTATCTGCAGTAGTTGTTCCAAGTTATCAGCACAGCCAAAGCTCTGATGCCTGTCACGATAGAAACATCCCATCCTACGGACATCAATACACGACCTATTTGGATGGAACTGAATCAACAGTTAATGATTCTTTGAGACGAGGGAGTCGTTTATCTTTCACAACATCCCACAAGTCAGCGGTTAGCAGGGTCCAGTTGTTCTGCATGACAATGTGTTAAGTTGTCGTCACCTAGAATCTCGTAGAACATATAATATACGTCATCGATATTCTTCATGCCACGCATGAGGGCACAACCCTAAGGAAAAAATGACTAAGAGTACGACGCATGAACTTTTGTGTTTTTAACTTAAGAAAATACGAACCAGGAAGCACAATGTGCAGCGGTGGCTCACCTCTAACTCAATCGTGTTTGTTGTACAACAGTTGCTCGTTTGCTATCTGAGGACTACTTCCCGGACATTTTCAAGAGTTTCGTGCAATCGATGGTTGTCGCGTGCCACAAATAAATTGCAGCTTTTTCCTCTGCTGAATCTGCTGTGCACTTCAATTATCCAAGAGTTGATTGTTCATCTGCGTATCGTGGCAGCGTTTCTACAAGGTCCTCAACTTTTCGTTGTCGGAGTGACGTCTCCAGACAAGTCATACTTTCATGCAGAGGGGGTATAGCTAACATTTGCTTTCGGTGGAGGTCAAGTGTATTAATCGGTGGATCTGTTCCAAAGGGATAGTTTTTGTTTGTCTGAAGTGACATACCTCTGAAAGCAATCCTTACACGCTGTTTTGGAGAGGCCATAGGCAGCTTTCGTCATGGTACTTAAAGTGAGCGAGGTTAGCGGGATCCTTGACAGATATCACGGAGATTTTGAAAGTGCGGAGGGATTGCTTCGGGCAAGCTTTCCAAGTTTCGGTGAGAGTTTGGTTGGTGGAATGACCCTGAGGTCTAAGCGGTCAGCAGTCTGCGCGGAGTCGCCAACCTCTTCGTGCGGGTCAACATTGTCACTGTCTTCTATACTGTCAACATCTCCTGCAAAGGCATCGGTTGTGAGTGCGAGCTCTGTCAGTTCAAAGCCCATTCCTATCGTTGCGCAGAAAAAACACAGCACTTACGTCGAGAAGGGTCAGTTTCACACATGGATCGGTGCAATGAGGGCTCAGTCACCCCCCCATATTCTCTCACTTCACAGCGACACTCCCGATGCTTTTGATCTTGAAACTGCTGTGCATAAATCTTGGCTTGTAAGCACCTTCGGAATCCACTTCTCAAAGCATAATCATTTTCATATAGAAGTACTAGCTTTAAGGAGTTGTGGAGAGGCCTTAAAATTTTCGAACTTCAACAACGCGTTCTTGTATCAAACCATTACTGCACCTGATCATGAATTTCAAACTAGCAATTTCTATGAATCGAACTGGCCTTTGAATCCGTATTTTCACTCCGCAGGAAAGACATCCATCAGCCTTAAGCTCGTTTCATAAAGTGATCAAGAATGCGCACAAGAAGCAGATTGTGGTCTTTCTTGACTATGACGGCACGCTGTCACCTATTGTGGAGGATCCTGAACGAGCTTTCATGTCAACTGAGGTCAGTGAGGCTCATTTACGGGCGATGAATCTGAAGCTTCATGTCAGTTATTATTGCATGTTGAGTAGACACTTTAATTAGAACATTCGAATGTCTTGTGTACATTTAGGTTTTAATGTGCATCCAGTTAGCCCTAGAGTAAATTTGGCGTCAGTCGTACACAAATACATGCGCTTGTAACTAACACCCTGGGTCGCGTGTTCAACAGATGCGAGCAACTGTGAAGGACTTGGCCTCGTGCTTCCCAACCGCAGTTATCAGTGGAAGGTCTCGATCGAAGGTACTTGTCAGATATCTGTCCTAACTGGGTCTTATTGTACCATGCATTATTTCCCTGCGAAATAGTTTCTTAAGTTTTTGCGTTGTTCCCCAGTAATGTATTTCTTGCTTTGTATGTTTCTGGATCTATTTTGAGATTTTAATCAGGATTGATTTTGGTGAGATGCATGCGAAAGCTTCAATTAGGAGGCGTGCTCACAGCTTTTATGGTTTTGGAGCAGGTGTTTGATTTTGTGCAATTGACAGAACTGTATTACGCTGGGAGTCATGGCATGGATATCATGGGCCCTGCTAAAAGCTCGGATGGTTTCCGAGTTAAGGGTACCAAGTCTAGGGATAAAAGGGTATCTATTCTTGATAACCCAGCAACTATTTGAAATAGCCCAATTCGATAAAATAGTATGGATTTCTGTACAATCGATGTTCAACCGTGTTTGCCTTCTTGGCTAATCTTATTTACTTCACCTTGCAGGGAAATGATGTTGTTAAATTCCAGCCAGCAAGTGAGTATTTGCCGGTCATAAATAAGGTATTTGTTACATGTTTCCGTTACGGTACATTTGTTTATTTATTAACTTTTTTCCCCACGTAGGTTCCACTTAAGTGTGCCGTGAAGTTTTACATAGTGCAGTTTCGGATACTTTTGTTTAACTGTTGCTATGAAGGCTGATTTCTTCTATTTTAATTTCTCCAGGTGTGTAATGCTTTGATCGAAAGTACTAAATCAATTAAGGGTGCGAGCGTGGAGCACAACAAATTTTGTGTGACAGTTCACTTCCGACGTGTGAACGAGGAGGTATGGGTTTGCCTCGGCTTTCTTTTTCTGTAGTTATTAGTTCATAAAGTTAAACTCTAGTAGCTTACTCATGCAGTTTAGGTGGCTTAAACACGTGATGTTTTAACGGAATAACTGCAAATATATATCCTAACTTCAATCTCGTGGATATTGCTATGTTTATGGTGCAGTATTGGGAGGTGCTTGCAGAGAGGGTGCAAAATGTTTTGAAAGATTATCCAACTCTAACCTTGACACATGGACGAAAGGTACGTCAATCATGTCGTTTTGTTTGTTTTTTCTTTTCATCTTTGTCTTATGTAGTCACAACTTGTAGCATTTGTATATGGATGTGGAAGTAGATATTTTAATCTAGACATTTGTGGTATTTCTGGCAGGTTCTGGAAGTCCGCCCGTGTATTTCATGGGATAAAGGGAAAGCTGTAGAGTTTCTGCTGAAGTCTCTGGGTGAGGACCAACTACAATTGTCCATTTCTTCTCATTAATATTAATATCAATATTATTATTTTTGTTACATTTCGTTTGGCAAAATCAATGCAAGTATTATTCTATGCTAAACTTAGTTATTTTCTAAGGTTCCAATTTGAGGAAGAAACTCACCCATTCAATTCTTATTTACAGGATATAAAGACACAGGTGATGTTATTCCCTTGTACATTGGAGATGATAAGACCGACGAAGATGCTTTCAAGGTATGCACTATCTCTCACCCTTGTACCTGATATTTGTTACCCTCATTCTCTTCATCTGCGTCGTTTCTGTGGCAATTTTGTGAACTTGAATGTACCAATGTTGTTGGTTTTTATCTAGCAGCTGCTGTAGGGATCATTTTCACTCCTTGTAGACATTTTAAGTTGTGGTTCTCATACATCTCAAATATATGAGGTGCTTGTTCCAATTCTGCATAGTTCTTTCTTCTGACACTTGGATGTGATTTTCACTGTCAGATGGTCAACAGGGCGAAGCATGGCTGCAGTATTTTGGTATCTTCTGTTCCCAAACCAAGTGATGCAAAGCTTTCACTTCAGGATCCATCCGAGGTAGTTGTCTTTCCTCGAAGCCCCAACAACATTCTGTAGAATTTTATATTCACAGAGATTTATGAAAATGATTATCTTGGAAGAATATGTTTGTAAAGACATATGACATAAGAACTAACACACCTCAATGGCACTGCAGGTTATGGAATTTTTGCGCAGACTTGTGCGCTGGAAGAAGTGGGGATTGGAAAGCCGAAACAGCATTCAAATGGGTGTCTACGACTTCAAGTAGATGCCAAACCTATTCTATAGACCTATATGGTTTAAGCCCTGCTCCAAATTTCTTCTGTGTGAATAGCCCACCTATAATGGTGACAATGGCCTTAAGCCACTCACCATACCAAGTAAAACTACCTGCAAACGTAACACTTACTTCTCGGTCAGCGAGCCCCGACTCCAGCCTGTGGTTTCTTAAGTCAACACTGTTGATTTTGGTGAACCCAGGTACTACCTGAGCTGAAGAATGAAGTCCAGATCTTACATCGTCAAAAATTTAACATAGCACATACGACATTGCACAAGAATATCTGGAAGTTGCCAAAGGATTGACGTACCAACCAAACCAGGCGCAGAAGAGGGAAAATACAGGTGACAAATCAAAGGCAAAATCTGTAACATTAATCGGACGATCCGTTTGCTGGTTAGGATCAAATCCAAGATGGAATCAGTTCAAGCAAAAGATATTCGACGATCTGCAGTGGAATCAAAAATATTCTTAGCCCAACATTGAGGCTTGCATTCTCTTTCGACATATTAGGTTGTCACAAATGTGACCTCTGAAGTTGCTGCACTGGATGTCTGCATCCAAGTGAGACATTTTGGGGAACCCTTACCTCCATGTATTATTATCCGCCGTGCGTTCTAGCAGGTTGCGCGATTTTGCCATTGTAATGCGAAGCTTCAGCATTCCTTTTTGTAGAATGTCATCGCAATATCCAAGTTCTTCATTCGTCGAATACCGCTCTCTTGTTAGACCCGAGTACACTACCTCCGCATATGTGAAATAGCAACATATTTGACATAGGAGTAGATGCCTCAACAGTGAGCAGAGTAGGCTGGAAAACCCGACCTGGACCTGAACGCCATGGTTTATCAATAAACGTATCTGGAATTCCAGTTCTATAAAGAGGGCATTGTTTGATATATTCATTTTTTTTTTGAACTTTTCGTTTTACATTCATTACTGGGTGGTAATAATAACAGTAAAACATTTGGATTTCAATTGATGTAGAATCATTACATAGCAATCCTAATTGGGATAATCAATTGAGTTGCACCCTTTATTTTTCTTTCGAATTTAGTATAGTTACGTCTGGAGTCCACACGTAATAGTTCATGGAGGGGGATTCTCATTCTCACCGAAACGACGCAAGATTTCTCATCAGATAAAGTATGATTCTGAACCTTGTCGCAAAATATGAGCGGTTGTATCGTAAACTCAACAAACGATGTTCAGAACATTGAGAAAAGAACATTCGAAATATGAAGATCCCTGAAAAAGTCGATTGAATCCCTTCGTACTATTAGGGTGAATGAGTACCATAGAATGATGTACATCTTCCATACCATCAGCTGTCTTGAGTCTTTACTATACACCTCACCTGGAATCTGTAGATGCACTCGAGCTAACATAATGTGCGTTCATGGCTATGCACAGATTCATGCATTCATCGTTTGATCTCATCAGAATTGTGCAATATTGTACACCTGAGATTAAAATGGGCTCTAAATATTAAGCAACGAGGTTCACCACCCACCAACCTTGTTTCATTTCAGAAAAAAGATTCAGAGAATAGAAAACGTATAAACACGAATCTACTAGAATTATCGGGACAGATTAACAAACTCTCTAAGCACTTTCTTCATTGTATGTGTTGTTCTTGGATATAAGCAGCCAACATGCAGCAAACTAGCTTCAAATGACAGGTTCTCGTTTCTGATTACTTCATTGCAATGTGAGCGCTTGAGCTAAAGCAAAGTATGAAACAAAGTTCAATAAGATAAAATTATTGATCTTTTAGTGATAGAGACCTAAAACAAAGAGTAGGAGGAATTGACCATCGAGGGAAGCAATTGTTGTCGAAGCCGAACACCGTCTGAGTACATTTATCGGTGAAGGTCAACGCGTTGACTCTCACCACAGTATAATTTTGTGATCGGATTATCATGACATTTAGAGACGTTTTTGAGGACAATCTAAGGGTATTTTTTGTTCGTCTTTTCTGAAATCAAAAAAATTCCCTGTGAAAACGCAAAGTTTTTTTTTTTTTTTTTTTTTTTTTTTTTTTCTTTATTGTACCAAATTTTAGAAATTTCTGAAGTAAATAAAGAAAGTGTTGTTGGAAGAAGAACCGAAGTAAGAGGAAAAAAAACCAAAGTCGCTTTATTTGTGAACTAAAAAAACATCAATGTTTACATTGTTAGGTTTGCTGGTAATGGCCACAAAGCTCATCAACTCCGAAGCAGGATGAACGGGGCACTGACAGCACGGTCATGGGGACCAAGTCCTGGAGCATCATCCCCTCTGAAGCATGGGCTTTGTTGGTTGCCACGTAAGATGGCTCTCATGCACCACACAACTGCACATGGTTATTCATTCGTCTATTGGACGATATTACCTATCAGTGTCTTTTTCATCCATGCCGTGTAGGGTTTCAAGCACACCACACATCCTCGCCCTCATCGGAAACCCTTGTAGATGTGTGCTCTCTTCGCTTCAAATTGCTCAAATTTACACTTGTATATATGTCGTGACATGGTTTTGATGCATGCAAGTTTCGTGAGAGCAAGGAACTGCTGATGGTAGGTAATCATGTGGTTTTTTTTTTTTTTTTTTTTTTTTTTTGGTTTTAAGATTATTATGATTGCTTTCTGTGTTTCAAACATAGTGCTAGAGGTGATGCTCGGAGTGTTGCTGTGCCTCACCTATAATCCAAGGCACAACAATCTATATGTTAGTGGATTGGATGGATTGTGGAGTGAGGGCAAATATTTAAGAACTACATCCTTAAGGCCAAGTCGATCTCAACAAGATTATGTGAAGAGTTTGGATCAATTTTTTATTTTATTTTATTAACAATATATGAAGGAAAAACTATATTATTTCTTAATATTAGATTTTTGTAAATTTTTAGTATTCTTTATCAAATAAATAAATATTTCAAAGACATTTTCACTTGACTTTCTATCAATGTTGCATATAACTATTTATAGAGAACAAAAACTCAAGCTTAACAAGCTTGTCAAATGAATTGGCAAATCTTTCTTCATTGATAATATTTAATTTAAGTGATTGCTAAAGCTTGACAAGCTTGCCAAATGCATTGGCAAATCTTTCTTCTTTGCAAACAATTAGTTTATTTTGTTGCTCAAGCTTGATAAGTTTGTCAAAAGAATTAATAAATCTTTTTTTTTTGACAATACTTTATTTGAGTAGTTGCTCAAGCTCGATAAGATTGCCAAATAAATATGTAGATTTTTCTTCTTTGATAAAAATAAATTAGGTGGATATTTAAGCTTGCTAAAAAATTGGCAAATCTTTCTTGTCACATGATGTGGCATTAAGTGCCAAATCTTGTCAAATATATATAATTTAGTTTAATTTAGTGGTTTTTGATTCACTTGGTTTTTTTTGTTACTTCACTTTAATAATGTCAATTAAGATTTAAAGACTTAGGTGGAAAAATCTCCTTGACTTGGTATTCTCGTCAAGTTAAGTCTTGTAAGTAATTTTGAAGAGAGAAAACTTATAATGTAAAGGTTGATTGGCTATGATAATTTAGCCATTTAGTAAAGCTTTAGGATTTTTTCTAATCATACTTGCACTCTTAGATTCTTCTTTTGTGGTCTAAGAGGTAGCTTAACTTAGTTCTATGTAGGTTTATCATCTTTCACTTGACAAGAATGTGCTCTTCTTCAACTTGATGTATAGCAAATTGAAATAGTTTTTATTTATTTATTTATTATTTAAATTTATAAAATTCTTTTAACCTTTTTGAAGTATTTGATTTTTTTTGGATAACATATTTTTGGATATTGATTTTGGATACATATTATTGCAATATTATATCATTGATACTAGTCAATGTTGGTATGTTGCAATACTAGATATTGGAGTTGCAAGAATGGTGCAAGGCATTGTGTGGCATAATATTATGGTACAACATGATTCTAGTACAAGGTGACTAGGGTGGAATGGCAAGGCATTGGGGCAAAGGGTGTGTGACATTGAAATGTCGAGTGATGTCATATAATCTATAGGCTTACTTGAAAATTCATTAGATATTTGGCTATGGAAGGTAAATTAGAAATTATAATAAGAATTTTCCTAACAAATCTAATAGAACCTTAAATAAATTCCAATTAAACCTTAATAATTCTAAATAAATCTTAATATTTAAAAAAAATCATAAATAATTAAAAAATATTAAAAATCATAAATAAACCTTAAAAAAATACTAAAAAAATACTAAAAAAATATTAAAATATAAATATTAAAGAAATACTAAATAAATTTTATATAAATTCTAATTAAATATTATTTAAATCCTAATAAAAATCTAATAAAATCCTAAATAAATCCTAAGAAAATCCTAGCCAAATCTTAGACAAATTTCAATAAAATCCTAATAAAATCCTAAATAAATTCTAATCAAATTCTTATAGCTATATTAAAATCTCAATAACTATTAATCAAACTTTTGATTTAGCTACTTTTTTTTTAAGAATTTCAATCTTTAAGTAAAGACCAAGAACATAAAGTTTGAAAAAATAAAACTTACCAATAAAAAAAAAATGCTCTTAGTTTTCTAAGGTTTTGGTTTTTTTCTTTTTCTCAACCTTAGTATTGGTCTTTTAGCAATCATTACTCCTTGTTGAATTGTTCAATTTCTTTTCAAATTAGCATAATTGTAGAAATCTAAATTCACTATGTTTCCACAAATTTTTCTTTAATTAAATCAGAAATTTACTTTGGATTACAAAAAAATTCACTAATCTTAAAAATAAATATTTGAGATCCTAATTTAATCAAATTCCATTATCTTTCAATCTAATTTTTTAATTAATATTAATTTTTTTGAACACATATAAAATAAATAAATTTGTAAATCCAAAAGCTTTTACATGTCTACATGCTATATAATTTATAAATTCTTCAAATCTATAAACTTCTTTTTTATTTCTCAAAATCCAAAATATTAAAAATATCTCTAATTTTAAAAAGCTTTCAAAAACCTGAAGTTAATACAAATTACTTAAAATCAATGCTAAAAAACCCTCTTAAAGACTTGTCTCTTATTTTGCTCTTCAATTAGCAAAAAAATCCCAAAATTGTAGTTGGTAGATACTTTTGTATCTTAGGGTCTGATTTCAACCCTAGTTTACAACTAATCATCTTGGAATATCTGTTCTTAGTCTCTTAAAGTAAATTTTTCTATAAACATATTCTTGATTTCCTCCTAAAGGTACTTATATTATTCATTTTTTCTAATATATTTTGTTTTGCCTTATTTATGGTTGTATAAAGTAAGTAGAAACCTTTTATACAAAAAGGCAATATTAACTCCAATTTTTTTTTTATTATCTCCCTAATTTTTACATATATTTTTTTATTATATTTTAAAATTAAGATTTTCTATAATAGAATCTGTATTTTTTTTTCTTTTACTATAAAGTTGTATTACAACATGAAATAAGAAGTATTATGCACCTAAGTCATGGTGTAGTCAAGAGATGGAGTTAGAAGTTGCATGGCATTGGAGATTGATGAGGTGTGATGCAAAGTGCAACAAGATCATGGTGTAAGAGCCATTGATGTTGGAGGTTATATTTATTTATATTTATATTATTTTTTTTGCAGTGCAATAATAAGGTATGACTCAAGGTTTTGAACTGGTACTGTTTCTATTATAATGTTACTGATGTGACATTGTTTGGATGCTGCAATTGTAATTTCTGGTCTAATTCTCAATGCAAGTCCTTTCCTTTGTTGTAAGCCAAAAGAGGAAGAAACCAATCTGCAACAGATCTTTGATTAGAAAAGAACCTTGTTGAGTTAAAGCATATCAGTAGTAAGAGGAGATGGAATCGAATATAAATTTTATATTAATAGAAAATAATAAAAAAAACTTATTAGGGTGTTTAT